GCAAAAATAAAGTATAAATATATATATATATATATATATATACATATACTATATATATACACACGCGCGCGCGCGCGTGTGTGTGTGTGTGTGTGTGTGTGTAATAGAAATACAGGGGACAAATATATGTAGATAAGAATACTCATATTACATCATCAAAATGTATTATTGTATCGTTGTAAATTACACAGTAATCATATTAAGCAAAGACGTTGATTGAACAATGTTTGTAATCTCCTTAATTATTTCTCGGTAATGAATATATTTTATTTAACTGAAATTACAATTCTTTTTAGAAAATTGCAATCTTCTTCCGATCTTAATACATTCTCTTATCAATATGAGAGATCTACAGGTGTGTATGCGGAACTAATCCTTGTAATGAATGATATAAACACGGTAAAGCACCTTCTACAAATTAGGCCAGATAAAAGTGTCGAAATAACTGGCTAAAAAGCGGCTTTAAATTTCCATAAAATCTCGTGACTAAAATTACATGAGCTTATATAAGCTAATAGCACGTGATTTATAAAATACGCGTTATGAATCCATGATAACATTACATAATTCTGAACTAAATTCATTGGCTAAACATCGCATTTAATGTTTTACAAAAAATTATACACATGTATTTGGCAATTAAATACAGGCAGTGTTTACAAAAAGAATATCAATGCAAATATTATTCATTATTGATAATTAAAATATAAATGTATACTTTTAATCTTGGCTCCATGAACGCTCCAAACTTCAAGCACATAAATATGGAATATTTACATTCATATTTGTAATAATTATAGCAATAAATCTTAATAATTAATATATTTTTAATTATATTTCAATACATACCTATATATTACGTATATTTTATAATTAATAAGCGATTAAATATTTAACTTACAATTTTCAATATTTCACATATAAAAAAATATTAGTTTTTTTTTACATGTTAAAATCGGCAAGTCCGATTTTGAACGATCCAAATATTGTCATCAATTATGAGGCGTTTACTTGAGTGAAAGATCTCGATTTATACGTAAATCTTGAAGGGAAACTTTCCATAAAATTTGCATTTTACTCCTTCTTAGCAGGGTAATGCAGCTGTCTCTATCAATCGCGACGTCAAATTCCATGTAATGCGCAACGGCGATCGAAATATAATCATCCCTGGAACGAACTATCATGCCGAGCTAAGTGATGGCAAGGCGAGACACCTGTTGCGATCCTGATAGCGCACGCTAGACGACAGATAGTTAAGTAGGAGAACGAGTAGGCGAACGAGACATCTTCCGTGATTTCACTGTGCGTATTTTTCCATTGGGAGCTGCGAAAACTTGTTCCTATCCAGTCGCCTCGGCGATCGTATCTCAAAACGTTTACGAGCGACTCGGTACTTTTATTGCTTCCTCAATATCGATTCATCTTTGTCGTGCTCGGAATTTTATAAATTATAGATTTTTTTTTTTATGAATAAAAAGTACTAAAGAAGATATTTGCCAAGTTATTTAATAATCTATTTTGAGTTCTCCTTCTATCGCTACTCTCTTAATATATTTAGGAATAACTGGGAAATAGAAATAATTCCATTCTATTTCGAGTCGTGCCACAACTACGTATTAATTAATTAATTTTAGTAATACAATTCTCAGTTAAAATTCTATAATGTAATTTTCTATAGATTTCTCACAATTAGATTAATTTAAGAATAATTTTCCACTTGCTATTCAAGAAGATTAATTCCTACAGCCAAATATTTCGCTGAACTTGTTAATGTTTATATAGTATTTTAAAGTATTTTATACACTTGTTTATATATATTGATGAAACTTTTGAGAGAAAAGTGTTTGCTTTTCATTTTTTTATATTTTCCTCAGAACGATTGTAGTACGAGTATAATCTTTTATCACAAGTGATGGGTGAAATTCTGGCTCCGCACGTACATACGAAATATATGTATAGCGCGTGAGCTTCTGCACATTATGTTCCAACTCAGCGTGTAACGTGATTATGTAACATGTTGGGAAAAGGAGAAAGGGTAGGTACTGGGGACCAATAAATTCATAAGCAAGTTAGCAGAGATTCGGAAATGAGGAAGGTTTTTGAACGACCCGACATATATCAAGTACTAAAGTTCGCTCTTAATGCGAAAAGGTCGTTATCTCAAAGTCTTAACGAGAGATCACGAAGTCGTTATCGTGAACTAACAGAAATTTTGTAGCATTCCAACGTGCCCTTGTACACTAAAAGAAGATAGAAGGTTTTTATATACATGTATATACACTCTTTGACAAAAAAAAAGTGTTACGCACAGATCTAAACGTCGGGAGTTTTCTCGTTAACGATGATAGATACAGTTTCGACACGTAGAACCCTTCTCGTCGAGAGAAATCGAAATAGTTCTGTGGCATCTATCACTGTTTCCGAGACAATAGCCCTTTCTTTGTCCAGACCTGTGCATAACTCTTTTGTCAAAGAGTGTACACACGTATATATCTCCTTTAATCTATTAGGTTGTTCGGAAAGTAATTTCGTTTTTTCTTATGAAAATGAAAGACGATTTTCAATCAGACGCGTTTCAAATGATCATGAACGGTCGAATTCGATAAATTTAATCTCTCAGCGATCTCACGAGTTGTTATTCGCCGGTTTGCATCAATTAATGCCTTTATTGTGTCTTCATCAGCTTCAACTGGCCTTCCAGAACGTGGTGCATCTTCAACATCAAAATTGCCGGATCGAAATTTTGCAAACCAGTTTTGGCACTGGCGTTCTGTCGATACATCTTCTCCATACACATCGGATAATTTTTTTCTCGCTTGAACAGCATTTTTACCTTTTCGGTAGTAAAAAAAGTAAAATATGCCGAAAATGCTGCTTTTCACTTTCATATTTGATAGGGCACCAACCAAAAACTACTGCGTAGAATCAATCGAACTTTTTTCACAAGCAAGCCTTGCTATATCAGCTGTCAAAATATATAATAATTATGCGGCTTAAGTGTGAAGTTGGCTGTGAAAAAATATAATAAGTCCTCTGTTGCGAAAAAACGAAATTACTTTCCGGACAACCCAATAGTTCTATGTATATATTACATACGTCAGATA